AAACCCCTATTTTGGGTTTTTTTTTTTTTTTTTTCCCCCCATTTGGCTGTTTTCTCCCCCCCCCCCCACCCTTTCTCTGCTCCGTCCTCCCCTGCGTCCAGCGTTTCAACCCCGCAGCCCCTTGGGGACACGAGCTGCTCCGTGGCATTTTGCGTGCATCAACCCTGAGCTCACGCTGGCCCCAGCCGGGGGTGGGGGGGCCCCGCTGCCGCCCACCCCCAGGGCTGCCGGTGTGACCCTGGCTTCTCCCCTTCTCCCTGGGGCCTGCTGGTGTGATGTTCATCCAGATGCTTCGTTCCTCTGCAGCTGGAAAACCCTAGAACATGGGGAGAGGGTGTTCCTGGGGGGCTGTGCAGGAACCTCCCGTGCGGTCTGGCGTGGGGGTGAGGGGAGGTGGGTGGTGGGTGTCCGATGCCCCATTTTGGCTCTGGTTCCACCCTCTGATGCCTCGGGTCTCAGCCCGGTTGTGCAGTTGTCCAAGGGGCTCAGCTGTGCCCTCGTTTGGCCATCGTTAGCCTGCGAATGAAATGAGTTGGAGAGCTTGGCTGCTTATGGATCCGTCTGCTGGGGGGCACCAGGAGATGCTGGGGTGACCTGGGGAGGAAACTCCTTCCCCACGCGTGTGGGGCAGAGGCTGGAGCAAAGGGGAAGAGGAGGAAAAAGCCCCATTAAAAAGGCGACGTGCCTGGGAGCCACTGCTTGCTGTGCTCCTGGTGACACTGCCGTGGTGGCAGGCGTCCCTGGTTGGTTGGAGTGTCCCCCAGTGTTGCTGACAGGCTGCTGAGCCCCCACCTGCCCCACGCTACTGGGGCTGCCCTTCCAGCCCTCCACCCTGAAGCCTGTTAGACCTGCTCTGCCCTACTTCACAGATTTATTTTCCAAGCATTTCTGAGCTGTCTCAATTAGCGCTGGAACACCCAGTTCTTAGCGAGCTCCCAAATCTCGCATTTGTCTCTGCCAAGGTTGTGTCTAGAACTTTCGTCATATGAACATGTAGCAAATCCAATTTATTATTTCGCTTATTTTCTAACTGAAAACAATTCTAGCAAAAAAGCAGTTGTTCTGCCTTACCTTGCTTTGCCTTTCCGTTCCTTGCTGTGCCATGCCTTGCCGTGCCTTGATGCCGGGCCATGCCTTGCCTTGCTTTGCCTTGCCGTGTCACGCCTTGCCGTGCCATGCTTTGCCTTTCCGTTCCTTGCCTTGTCATGCCTTGCCATGCCTTGTTTGCCATGCCTTGCCTTGCTTTGCCTTGCTTTGCCGTGCCTTGCTGTGCCATGCTTAGCCTTGCCTTCTCTTGCCATGCCTTGCCTTGCCATGCCGTGCTTTGCCTTGCCTTGCTGTGCCATGCTGTGCCGTGCCATGCCTTGCCTTGCCGTGCCATGCCTTGTCTTGCCATGCATTGCCTTGTCTTGCCATGCCTTGCCATGCCATGCCTTGCCATGCCTTGTCTTGCCTTGCCATGCCTTGTCTTGCCTTGTCTTGCCATGCCTTGTCTTGCCATGCCTTGTCTTGCCATGCCTTGCCTTGTCTTGCCGTGCCATGCCGTGCCATGCCATGCCTTGCCATGCCATGCCTTGCCGTGCCATGCGTTGCCGTGCCATGCCATGCCGTGCCATGCCTTGC